TGCCCTCGCCCGCCCTCACGGCGGGGAGATTTAGGAAGCCGTCTCTGAGCCCAGTGCTTCCCTCCAGCGGCTGCGCCTTACCACCTCCAATGTCTTCTAGGGGCCAGCAGGTGGCGTGGGGGTTATAACGACGGTTGGACTCCCACGTGGCCGAGCGCAGTTTAAGTCCCGGACCCAATGACTTGAAAGTGCATGTGTGCCCCAAGTCCCGAGAGGAGAATGGAAGAAAAGGGATTGCAGCCTGGCCACTCCCCCGGGGAGTCATTTTCTCACTCTTTGTCTCTCTGGCAAGCACACAAGCCATTTGGCAAAAAAATTTTTTAAATTAAAAAGTTTTTAAAAAGAGGTAGGCGAGTCCCCTGTAATCGCCCCCTGGCAGGACATTTTCTGTGGCATTTACTGTTACCTGAGACCTGGTGGGGAGGCTGCTGTACTCTGGGGGTCAGGGAAGAACGTGACTGGTATCTGTGTAATCCTGTAGTGAGCGTTTCACAGTAATTCGGGTTGGTGTTTTTAAGAGGTTTTTGCCTCAGCATTCCTGTACATGCCGTGGAGAGACAGAGACAGTGAGGGAAAGTGAGAAATCACAGGGGGAATGGCCACACCACAATCCATTCTCCTTCCGGGATCTTGGGCATACACGCACATGCACCTGGTGTGAGTCTAGCCACCAGGCCTGGGACTCGAACCACAGTCGGCCACATGGGAGTCCAGTGACATCACTGCTGTGCCATGCTGCCGCCCCCCCTGGCCCCCCAGTAATCTGTCCTTAGAGCTGCTGTCCTTCCATGCACACCGCTCGGGCCAGCTCTCCAGCCAGCACCTAGGACAGGCCTTCCCAGGGCCACACGTGTACCGTGAAAATGAAGTACGCCTGCAGGTAACCCTTCAGCCATGAGTTTCCACATACAAGTCAGATTGTATCCATCCACTGAGAAAAAGGAGTTTCCTTTTGTGTGTGTGTGTGTGTGTGTGTGTACTTGCCAGAGAGACAGAAAAAAGGACAGTGAGCATCACGCCCCCACCCCAGAGAGGGCAGCCACAATCCCCTCTCTCTAATCTTCTCCTGGGATTTTGGGCAGTCACGCACATGTGTCCAGGGCTTGAACTGTGGTCGGCCGTGTGGGAGTGCGGCTGCCTTAACCACCACGCCACCGGCTGGCCCCTCTTCCCTTGTTTTGAATGGCACGGAGAATTCCATCTAAGAATGGAAAATCAAGTTTCCAGCCTATTCCGGCTCTCACAATAGCCTTTCTTTGTGTCCAGCTAACTTCGCTCAGCGTGTTCTACATGAGGGGGATTCTTCTTCCAGAAAAGTGCCCGTCATCTCCCAAATGTCCTTGGGAGAGCATCTGCATGTATTACTTTAAGCTAAAAAGTGAAGACTTTTGTGATGGTTAGATAATCACTCAACCCAGAGCACTTTTTCCTAAAAACAAACAAACAAAACGCCCTCGTGTCGTTGGAGACAGGAACTGTAAGAGCACCTACCAGTGGGCTGCTGGGGCAAAACCTTCCCAAATGCTTTAGGCAATCTCACGTGTTAGGACATGATCCTCATCTAGAAAACGATGAGATCTGTCTTACAGAAGTGCAAATCTTTGGTTGCCCAACTGTGCGTAAGAAAAAAATGGAATTTTTTGGTACCAGCCGACCAGGACGTGTGGTCCACTAAAATCCAGTTTATTGTCTTCATTTGTGTTGCTCAGTGTTTATTAACGGTATCTTATGTACTGTTTCAAGATATAAAGGTGTATGTGTAAGCATTTACACAAGGTACAAAGATAGAAGTCAGTCACGATTTTTAAAAATATTTAATTCCATTTGTTTTGTTTTGTTTAAATTTGAGCAGAGAGAGACAGAGAGAGAAAGGGAAAGGGAAAAAGCATGCCTCCAGGTCAGGGATTCGAACCATGGTTGGCCCCGTGGAGTCCAGCACCCTCACCCACCACGCCGCCTGCCAGCTCCTCAATTAAGATTTGTAAAATTCTTCATCTTACTATTCTTTTCTTTTGTTTTGTCTAGGTTTAAAAAGGGATTGCACCTCTTCAAAATACTCCATATCATTTAGAGAACTCTGGGCTATGCTGTTTGAGTGTTTTTAATTTCCGTGTCTTTATCACCTTCATTTTAGGAAGAAGAGTTAGAAGCTCAGATTTCTTTCCTGCAAGGACAGCTGAATGACCTGGATGCCATGTGCAAGTACTGTGCAAGGGTGATGGACACACATCTCGGTGGGTGACCTGCGCTGGCCCTGGGGACAGTGACGGTCCAGACAGTATGAGCCACCAGCATGCCACCTGTCCCATCCCGGGTTAAGCTCTCCACACGAACGATCCCGTTCCATCCTTATGCCAGCCCTGTAGTAGCAGCACTCTTTTTTTTTTCTTTAAGAATTATTTTATTCAATCCTATTTATTATTATTATCAGAGAAAGACAGAGAGAAAGGGAA